CGTCACTTCATTTTCACTTTACTGTATTTTTGATCAAATAAATTCAGCCTTGGTGAGCATAAGAGACTTCTTTCAAAAACATAAAAACACTCTCTCTCTTTCTCACACACACACACACACATATATACAGGTGCATCTAAAAAAATTAGAATATCATGAAAAAGTACTTTTATTTTTTTGTAACTTGTTTCAAAAAGTGAAACTTTCATTTATTCTAGATTCATTACATGTGAAGTAAAACATTTCAAAGGTTTTTTTTTTTTTTTTAAATTTTGATGATTTGATGATTACAGCTCATGAAAGGCAAAAATCCAGTATATCAAAATATTGGAATATTTCCTAAGATCAATCAAAAAAAAAAAAAGGATTTGCAAAACAGAAAAGTTCAAGTTCTTTAAAGTATGTTCATTTGTGCACTCAATACTTGGTCGGGGTTCCTTTAGCACAAATGACAGCATCAGTAAGGTGTGGCTTGGAAGCGATCAGCCTGTGGCACTGCTGAGGCACTATTGAGCCTTCAGCTCATCTGTATTGTTGGATCGACTGTTTCTCATCTTTCTCTTGAAAATGTCCCATAGATTCCATATGGGGTTTAGGTCAGGCATGTTGGCTGGCCAATCAAGCACAGTAATATCATGGTCAGCAAACCACTTGGAAGTGGTTTTGGCACTGTGGGCAGGTGCTAAGTCCTGCTGGAAAAGGAAATCAGCATCTCCATAAAGCTTGTCAGCAGATGAAAGCATAAAGTGCTCCAAAATCTCCTGGTAGATGGCTACATTGACTTTGGACTTGATAAAACACAATAGACCAACACCAGCAGACGTCACAGCACCCCAAATCATCACTGACTTCGGAAACTTCACACTGGACTTCAAGCAGCTTGGATTCTGTGCCTCTCCAGTCTTCCTCCAGACTCCAAACTCCAGACCTTGATTTCCAAATGAAATGCAAAATTTACTTTGATCTGAAAAGAGAACTTTGGACCACTGAGCAACAGTCCAGTTCTTTTTCTCCTTAGCCCAGGTAAGATGCTTCTGACATTGTTTCAGTTTCAGAAGTGGCTTGGTAGCCCTTTTCCTGAAGACGTCTGAGTGTGGTGTCTCTTGATGCACTGACTCCAGCTTCAGTCCACTCCTTGTGAAGCTCTCCCAAGTCTTTGAATCAGCTTTGCTTGACAGTATTCTCAAGCTTGCAGTCATCCCTGTTGCTTGTGCACCTTTTCCTACCCAATTTCTTCATTCCAGTCAACTTTGCATTTAATATGCTTTGATACAGCACTCTGTGAACAGCCACCCCTTTCAGTAATGACCTTCTGTGACTTACCCCTTTTTGTGGAGGGACCATTGCCGTCTTCTGGACCATTGCCAAGTCAGCAGTCTTCCCCATTATCGTGGTGTCAAAGAACAAGAGATACCCGGAATTTATACTGTAGGGATGGTTATTTAATTGAACTCTTTATTGAAATTAAATGAAATTTTTTTTGAGATACTAGATTTTTGACTTTCATGAGTTATAAGCTCTAATCATCAAAATTAATACAAAAAACTTTGAAATGTTTTGCTTTACATGTAATGAATCTAGAATATATGAAAGTTTAACTTTTTGAAATGAGTTACAAAAAATATTTTGTCATGGTATTCAAATTTTTTTAGATGCACCTGTGTATATATGTGTGTGTGTGTGAACAACGGCTCTGTGTAGTTAATGCTCGTCAGTGAACAACGGCTCTGTGTAGTTAATGCTGCTCCATGTGAAAGCCCGCATGTGATGGAGATTTACCGCTGATTACAGAACCGACTTTCTGACAAGATGCGTGTTAAATATCGCATGCGATTTATCGTGCAGCCCTATTTTCAATACATAAAAACACATGAAACAAAGTTCAGTAAACATAAAATGTTTAGTTGTTTGTGATGTTTTGCTTGTTATAACATGGAAGGAAACTTGATTCAGGCTCACTGTAGAAAGGGTGTGTAGATTGTTGTTTCATTGTAGCCTTGCTAAACTTTGCTGTTTTCAAGACGTAATTTCACAAATCTAAATAACAGGATGCGTCACAGCTGTGCGTATGATTTACAGACTTAAGAAGATCTGGGAAGATTAATAAACGTGTTCCCTTAAGTAAAAAAAAGGTTCTCCGGTTTTTTGTCCTTTAGGGTGTCATCAGCTCATCTGTATTGTTGGATCGACTGTTTCTCATCTTTCTCTTGAAAATGTCCCATAGATTCCATATGGGGTTTAGGTCAGGCATGTTGGCTGGCCAATCAAGCACAGTAATATCATGGTCAGCAAACCACTTGGAAGTGGTTTTGGCACTGTGGGCAGGTGCTAAGTCCTGCTGGAAAAGGAAATCAGCATCTCCATAAAGCTTGTCAGCAGATGAAAGCATAAAGTGCTCCAAAATCTCCTGGTAGATGGCTACATTGACTTTGGACTTGATAAAACACAATAGACCAACACCAGCAGACGTCACAGCACCCCAAATCATCACTGACTTCGGAAACTTCACACTGGACTTCAAGCAGCTTGGATTCTGTGCCTCTCCAGTCTTCCTCCAGACTCCAAACTCCAGACCTTGATTTCCAAATGAAATGCAAAATTTACTTTGATCTGAAAAGAGAACTTTGGACCACTGAGCAACAGTCCAGTTCTTTTTCTCCTTAGCCCAGGTAAGATGCTTCTGACATTGTTTCAGTTTCAGAAGTGGCTTGGTAGCCCTTTTCCTGAAGACGTCTGAGTGTGGTGTCTCTTGATGCACTGACTCCAGCTTCAGTCCACTCCTTGTGAAGCTCTCCCAAGTCTTTGAATCAGCTTTGCTTGACAGTATTCTCAAGCTTGCAGTCATCCCTGTTGCTTGTGCACCTTTTCCTACCCAATTTCTTCATTCCAGTCAACTTTGCATTTAATATGCTTTGATACAGCACTCTGTGAACAGCCACCCCTTTCAGTAATGACCTTCTGTGACTTACCCCTTTTTGTGGAGGGACCATTGCCGTCTTCTGGACCATTGCCAAGTCAGCAGTCTTCCCCATTATCGTGGTGTCAAAGAACAAGAGATACCCGGAATTTATACTGTAGGGATGGTTATTTAATTGAACTCTTTATTGAAATTAAATGAAATTTTTTTTGAGATACTAGATTTTTGACTTTCATGAGTTATAAGCTCTAATCATCAAAATTAATACAAAAAACTTTGAAATGTTTTGCTTTACATGTAATGAATCTAGAATATATGAAAGTTTAACTTTTTGAAATGAGTTACAAAAAATATTTTGTCATGGTATTCAAATTTTTTTAGATGCACCTGTGTATATATGTGTGTGTGTGTGAACAACGGCTCTGTGTAGTTAATGCTCGTCAGTGAACAACGGCTCTGTGTAGTTAATGCTGCTCCATGTGAAAGCCCGCATGTGATGGAGATTTACCACTGATTACAGAACCGACTTTCTGACAAGATGCGTGTTAAATATCGCATGCGATTTATCGTGCAGCCCTATTTTCAATACATAAAAACACATGAAACAAAGTTCAGTAAACATAAAATGTTTAGTTGTTTGTGATGTTTTGCTTGTTATAACATGGAAGGAAACTTGATTCAGGCTCACTGTAGAAAGGGTGTGTAGATTGTTGTTTCATTGTAGCCTTGCTAAACTTTGCTGTTTTCAAGACGTAATTTCACAAATCTAAATAACAGGATGCGTCACAGCTGTGCGTATGATTTACAGACTTAAGAAGATCTGGGAAGATTAATAAACGTGTTCCCTTAAGTAAAAAAAAGGTTCTCCGGTTTTTTGTCCTTTAGGGTGTCAAAACAAAATAAAAACTGAAGCCTGCTGTTGAACCACAGATCCAAGATTAATGAAACCTGGAACAGTATGGGCCGTAAAATTTAGCAGAGCATGCGGGACTGAATGTTTCCAGTTTATGAACAAGCACGTGCAGCCTGGGCTGTAAAAAGCAATAAGTGAAATGATCGTCATGTCAAGTCATGATCGCTCAGTGCTGCCTATCCTATCCAAGCTTCTCTGAAGAGATGACACTAAATGACTACTTGTTATATTCAGTCAATCTGTCAGAGACGAGCAAATGCAAATCTGTGTCATATTTAATTAAAATAAATGAATCTAGTTAGTATTAGCCCAGAGGCTGAAATTATCCTAAAGGTCATATGGGAAAACTACACTGGAGTTTTTTTTTTGTTTATATGCTGCAGTTTCATGCTCAGATATTTTTTTCCTGAAATAAATTGGGTTTGTTGCCAAAACTTCTCATGAGAACTGCTGTACAGTAAAGCCTCGCTGACCATGAAAGCCAAGAGGTTTTTATAGGCAGGAACATAGAAAGTGTGCCACAAAACGGGCACAGAAATCTGTTTTCTATAGAGACAAAGGAGTGTGTTGCCAAAGTTGTGGTTTGCTCTAAAAAAAATGAATTTACATGAAAGACAAAACCACTAAAAATAGTGAAGCGCTCTGCCTTCTTCCAGAGGACGATTGAGCTCCAGGCAAAATCACGGCAGATTTTTAATAAACAATGAACCTGTGTATTCATGTAGCTGTAAATTACCATAAGTTTCTCTTTTGTGTATTTTATATGCACACAAAACACATTACCATTCTTGTTTTCTCTCTCTTTTCCTACACATATGCTACTGGTTAGCATACTATGCCTGTCAAAGACTCTCTGCCAACTGGCTGTTACATGTTTCACGGGTTTTTGAGCCAGCTGTGTGTATATGTGTGTGAGAACGAGAAAGTGGGGCATGGTTTAGCCAGAGAGATGATTGTAAGACCTCTATTGAAACAGCCTGAACATTTCTGTCAGTGAGAATATTTTAGCATAAGTGAAATGTGAGTTTTTGTGTGTTTGTGTTTTGAGAACCAAATCGACCAAATCCATGGATTTGCTAATATTAGTGTAGCAGGGTTATGTGTTTTTGAATTCATACTTGGATTAACATGGATTTGCATCCACTTATGCCAGTGATTTTTGTGTTTAAGGTCATGGATGAAACCAACACTCAGATCGCCTGGCCGTCCAAACTGAAGATTGGAGCAAAGTCCAAAAAAGGTATACACAACAAACAGACAGACAGTAGTTATGGCAGAAGTCACTGTGGTAGTGTACTATGCAAACCTACAATCTGTTCACAAGCTGCTGCCTCTGATGGAGAATTGCGTTGTATCTAGTATCTTGCTGGCTTTCTCAGTTTGTCTTTGTCTGTCTCACAGCTTTAAAAAGGTAGTTCGCCTAAAGATGAAAATTCTGTCATTTACTCACCTTCATGTTGTTCCTAAACCTGTATGACTTTCTTTCATATGTGGAACACGGATATATTGACAAATGCCTCAGTGTTTTTTTTTTGTACAGTGAATACATATTGGACCCCAATGGCTTTCCTAATATGGACAAAAACTTTTTCAAAAATTATTTTTGTTTTATGTCCCACAGAAGAAAGAATTTCATACAAGTTTGAAAGACACGAGGGGAGTAAATTATGGCAAAATATCTTTTTTTAGTGATCTGTTCCTTTAAGACTTTTGATAGGTACACAACATTGATTTCCCATTAGGAACTGATCAAAGGTTGTTGATGAAAGATAAACTACCAACTACCAAAATATTCAGCAGCACAACTGCTTTTAACATTGATGATAAAATTAGTGCTGTCAAACGATTAATCGCATCCAAAATAACATTTTTGTTTACATAATACATTGGTGTGAAAAAGTGTTGGCCCCCTTCCAGATTTCTTAGTTTTTTGCATGTTTGTCACACTTTAATGTTTCAGATCATCAAACATATTTAAATATTACACAAAGATAATGCAAGTAAATACAAAATGCAGTTTTTATATGAATATAAATATATACATGTAAATATTTTCAAAATATATGATGTATGTGTGTGTGTTTATATATACATAATAAATATACACAATATGCACACACATATGTAAACAAAAACTTTTATTTTGGATGCGATTAATCGCGATTAATCGTTTGACAGCACTAATATAAAAAGAAATGTTTCTTGAATATCAAATCAGCATATTAGAATGATTTCTGAAGGATCATGTGACACTGAAAACTGCAGTAATGACTGCTGAAAATTCAGCTTTGACATCAAAATAAATGAAAATATATTAAACTATTATATATTACATTTTCAGACCCAAATGTTTAAATGGTGGTGTATATAAAACGGTAATGTTAATTAGCATCTGATTTTGTAGAGGAGATTAGGTGGCGCAAGTCTGTGAGTTCTCTAATTTTTTGTGGCAATAGTTCATACCAAAATGTTGGCTTTCAAAAGCCATAGAACATAATCAGGCCCTTAAGGCGTTTTCCTAAATGATTAATGTGAGAGGATCTGGCAACACTAAACACAACTGAATCTACTGTGGGTGAAGAGTGACATGAAACTGGATGGATTAGTAGTTTCAAAAGAAGTTAGTGTTCTTTGCTACTTTTAATGTTCCTTATTAATTTAAAAGACAGAGTCCAGATTGCTGTAAATCTCATAAGTCTCATTCAAAAGATGACAGGCTCTTAATTTGTGCTTTTCCATATAATTGATGATGAATGTACATATGAATGTTTTTTTGAGGCTAATATTTCATGAACCTGTTTTTGTGCTTTCTTTATGACTGTGAACGTTTGCACATATTTTTGTGTATGTGGCTCATTGCCACGCGACTGAAAGACACAAAGAGTGTGTTTTTGGAGGTTCGGATCTCCTTACACTCAGTCATTTTTCTGTTTAAAACCCCTAAAGAAATTAATCATAATTATAATCCTGCTTAAAATCACGTAACCCCCATAAGATGAAGACAGTCCTATCAGTAGACTTATGCTGATTTAGTTCACATGGTGCAGGTTACCCAGCCAAATCACTCATCTAAATTGATCATGGCTGACTTGTTTTCAACATTTCTGATATGATATAACTGCAATTTTTCATTTTTGTCTGATGCAACATTCATGCCGCTAAGTCCAGCTGCCATATTGTCTAGTGCAACAAACAAACAAAAATACAGAGTGCATGCCTTGTACCTGCTAAAATCAGTTAACACAGATAATTTATTGGTAATTTGTTTTACTTTCAAAGAATTAAAATTTTTTGTTTTTTGTTTCTGACCTTAAAGTACCATGTATCTCAACAGTCATTTACCACAGTTTATTCAGAATCAGTCAATCTTTTCCCTCTTAATATATTCTTCTTGATGATGAGCCTAAGATCTCTCTTTTTTTTTTTTTTTTTTTCATGCTTTCTGTATCTTCTGTAAAGTCCACTGTTCATCTTGTTGTAAATAATGGTCAGTGTTTGTGACTCACATTTTAAACTATATTTTACTCTCCCTGGTCTCAAACGCTTTTCTCATTTTCTCTCTATTTTTTCCTTCTTTCTATTTTCAGCCTCTGTAACAGATGTTATCAATCTGAGAGATGTCTGTTCCACTCTGCCCTGAGTCAGTAAAGTACTTTTAAATGCGGCTGTCTGTCGGACAAAAAAAAAGTCACTCAACTGGAGTGTAGAAAAGCTGGACAATTTGGTTGAGAACAGAAATAAATGACTTGATTGAAGCCATGTCCAAGATACTAACATTCATGATGTTTCATCAGCAAAAAACGAACAAATATCTATATGTGTGTTTATTTTATATGCATATACCAACTCAGTCTCATCTATATGTTGAGCACTTTAAATGAAAGACAGACATTGGCATTGATATCATAACCTCATATATGCACGCGTGAACTGTTACATTCCTTACAGACATGCATAGACATTCTCCATTCATAAACATGCTGGCCACACATGCAACCCCACGCACACACATGGAGTTGATGACTACCATATGGCAGGAAGAGGATAGTTTTGTGGGCTGGACAAGGAGACCCCTACTGGTGTTACTCTAATACCTCCCCCAATAACAATGTACTTTGTGTGTGTGTGTGTCTAAGACAGCGATCCTTCCTGTTTGATTTCCCCCCTGCTCCTCTAGGCCCAATCCTGAAGTTCGTGGGAGTGTTTTAGGGAGAGTGAAACAGTCAAAGAATATGTGTAGAGAAAAACAGAATTCCAAGACGTTACACGACACAAGCTATTTTTAGAGAGTAGCAGTAAAGCAACTATCTTTCTCATGATGTATGTAAGGGTTGTCTGTGTGGTAAACTGACAGAGAAAAGTGAAACCACTAGTGTTAAAACTGCAGTTGTAGTTTAATTCCTCAAACTGAATGTAAGCATCTTTGTTAATGTATGACTTTGTTCTCTTGTCCTGCACTCATCTGCTCTCTTCCTCTCCTTCTCACAGATCCACATATTAAGGTCAGTGGAAAAAGGGAAGATGTGCGAGAGGCAAAAGAGAAAATAATGTCCGTTCTTGACACAAAGGTAACTGATAAGCTTATGACTGTCGTGGAAAAGTCTTGTCTGTATGGGTTTGCTACAAAAACCTGCTCATCTAAACCAGTATATTTTATTTTTCAGAAAAAAATCTAAGCATCTTTAAAAGCTGAATTGCTTAAGAATTTGGGAGAGAATGCTTATTTTTCTTACCCCACCGAGAAATATTTTTTTCTTGTTTTAAGCATAAATATTTCTTGTTTTAAGAATAAATCTGGCAAAATGTAACATTTTGAAATAAAAAACAGTAACATTTTGAAATATTTTTCACTGTTATGTAATGTATTCCTGTGACTTCAAAGCTGTATTTTTAGCATCATTACTCCAGTTACATGAACCTTCAGAAATCATTCTAATTTGCCGCTCAAAAAACATTAATTATTTTGTTGAAAACAGAGTAAAAAAATTTCAGGTTTCCTTGATGAATAGAAAATTATCTGAAATAGAAATCTTTTGTAATATTATAAATTTCTTTATCATCACTTTTGATCAATGTAAAGCATCCTTGCTAAATAAAAGTATTAATTTCTATAAAAATTTTGCTTTGATCACAGGAATAAATTACATTTTAAAATATATTCAAATAGAAAGCAGTTATTTTAAATAGTAAAAATATTTCACAATATTACTGCTTTTGCTGTATTTTTGATCAAATAAATGCAGGCTTGGCGAGCAGAAGAAAATTCTTACTGTTCAATAACTTTTGACTGGTAGTGTATATAAGCCTATTTCTCTTTTGATCAGTTAAATGCATTCTTGCTGAATTGAAGTATTCATTTCTTTTTATAAAAATCTTTCTGACCCCGAACTTTTAAGTGGTAGTGTATCTGAATGTAATCTTCTTAGAGTTTGGAGCAGGATTAAAGGATTTTAATTCAGCCCTGATAGATTTCCATGAATGCTCTCTCGTTTTTCTAAATTGTGGCCTTTGACACCTATAGAGTAATCGTGTGACCCTGAAGATGGACGTCTCACACACGGAGCACTCGCATGTTATTGGGAAAGGAGGGAATAACATCAAGCGAGTGATGGAAGAGACGGGCTGTCACATACACTTTCCTGACTCCAATAGGCACAGCCAGGGGGAGAAGAGCAACCAGGTACAGACACACACATTTTCAACATTTTATCATACCTATTTTCTAGATGTTAATTTTTATTTTAGTAAAAGTTCACCCTAAAATGAAAATTCTTACTGTTGCTTATTGTTTTTCAAATCTGTAAGAAGATAACTGATAATGTCATTGGTTCTTGCATGTATTGTGACCAATCGTAATTACTTGCATTTCCTCACAAAAAAGTAAAAGAAATAGTGCACACGTCATAACATTTTATAGCACTTTTTGGTGTTTTAATGTGCAAAAGTCATGGCTTTTATGTTCTATGGACGAAAGAAATGTAGGTTTTAAAAGACATGAGAGTGAATGCATGACAGAATTTGTAGTTTTGTGTGAATTATCCTTGCTATGGGAATATGTTTGATTTCTTGTTGAAATTTAGCAAAAAGCACAGCAAATCTCTTCCATCCAGCCAACATTTACTATCGAGCAGTGGCTGAACTCTAGCTGAATCATTTTATTGGCTGAGGGACATGAAGCAGTTTGTATTGGCTGGAGGATGAGAATGGTTTGGAGTATGATGGATCTGATTGGCTGTTGGACGGCTCTCAGGTTTAAATGGACTGCTGAGTGGTCTGACGAGGCGTGCAGACAGTTTGGAATGTTAGTAGCGTATACAAGCGCACGCATGGACAAACACGACTTCAGAGCCAAACCAGATGGACTCTCTGAACTGGGCCGAGTCACTTGGTTCCAAACCGGGATTAATTCTCACAGGGCGTGATTAAACGTGTGTTTGTCGGGATGAAATGATGGAAACAAAAAAATAAAACTAGCTGGACTTTAATTAAGGTTTTTTGACTGGCGCACTGCCACACACACACTCCCATTTAATGTTTCGATGGGTAATAAATCCGGTTTCTGGACGTGACACTGTGTCTTATTTAAGCTTAACTAAAATTCTTACAGGATGAGAGAAAGGAATAAACATCTGCACATGTTATGTAGAAAGATCATGAAGTACAATCATTTCTTTGTTTCTATATTTTTCTCTCAGGTGTCAATAGCAGGGCAGCTGACTGGCGTAGAAGCAGCGAGAGTTAAAATACGGGTGAGAATTTGTTTACCTGTGCTTTACAAGCATTCTTTCTTCTTTTTCTGATAAGCGGTAGGCTATTTTAGAAAGGAGCATTTAAAAGATGGAAAAGAGGAATTAGGAAGAATCAATAAATGATGAGTAATTCATTGGTATTGTGTGAATAATATGTAATCATGTAATCAATATAAAAGTAACTGTAGTCTGATTACAAGTATTTTAAAATGTAATTTAATCAAATTACAAGTACTTCATTTTTGGGTTCTGATTACATAATCCAGATTACATGTAATCAGTTGCTACCCAGCTCTGGCTACACTGTATATGTTCAGGTATAAATGACCATTTTAGCAAGGATTATATTATAAAAACAATGTCTCCAATATTAAATAATTGTCTTTTATTTGTGATTATACTACATCCCACACAATTTAAGATATTATCTGTAAAATATTTACTTGTAAATATGCATATTTTTTTCTACCCACAATTAAGAGTATTAGATGTAAAACCTGAAGAGAAACTTTTTCAGTTAAATTTTAATTTAATTTTACTGAGAATTTTGCCTTAAACCTTGAACAATATAAAGGCAAAAGATACACTTAGAAAATACTGAAATGTTTTCACAAACCTATATAAATATATTAGGCTATTTAATTAATAACCTTAACCCAGAAAGCCTAAAATGCACTGTTTTTCCGGTCTAATTTTTCACTAGCGCCCCCTTGTGGTCCAGTTTTAAGGAGCCAACCATAGATTAGGAGCTTTATGTGCTGCACCCTAGTGGTTGAAATGTCATCATCATTTGTTCTGTGTTGTCTTTAACCCATGTGTTGTTTTTCCTCAAAAGCATCATTCTTCCCCATCCTCTCTGTAGGAGCTGTTGCCATTGATGCTGATGTTCGAATGCAGTGGTTTGGTGCAGCATGTGGACTGTAGCTCTCCTGTAGTTCAGCATATCTCCCACACTTACAACGTCTCCATCTCCTTCAAACCTCCCTCCCGTCTCTATGGCAACACCGCCATCGTCCGTGGCAACCAGAACAATGCCAGTGGCGTTAAGGTGAGGCATGAAGTGATAGACTTATAAATGAATACTGCTATTGAAAGAGCTGGATTGTTGGGGATCGTTGTTTTTATTAGCATTATTTTAGCATTTTATTTAATCTATTTTGTTATCATTTGTATTAATGTAATATTATACATGAATGATTATGCTTGCATTATTAAAGCAGTGAACTATATATGATTACATAATCATATATAGCTGATTTTTATTCCATCTCCTATCCTGAAAAGTGTGTCTTGCAGGATTGACAAAAAATGAGCTCCTAAAACTTAGTGCCTGATTCTTGAAGATAAATTCTTCAAACAGTGGTACAAGAAGATGTGGTGCTGGTCCTTCAAGAGTAGCTCTCAACTCATCTGTCCATAAAGCCTATAAAAAAATAGTCTTCCATCTATTTCACAATACTTCAGCATGTTATTTTTATTAAGTGAGGGTCATTTTATAGGATTTTTGCTCTCAACTCATCTGTCCATAAAGCCTATAAAAAATTAGTCTTCATCTATTTCACAATACTTCAGCATGTTATTTTTATTAAGTGAGGGTCATTTTATAGGATTTTTTTACCCAAGCATAGTCTCTGAGAACCTGACACCTTGTAATTCTGGAGACTTCAGGAAGGTTGCAGTTCTGGAAAATGGTGGTGCTGGAGACTAAATGTTTCCTGATGGTTTTACACCTAATTCTTCACATTAATTCTTAAATCTTTTGCAGTTAACGTGTGTCTTTTCTTCTCCACCTGTTTTTTCTGACCTCGCTGACCCAGTGAGCATTTTGCTGTCCAGTGGTCATGTCTTAACTTTGCAATTTCTGTATTGCATTAGTTTTGAATATTTCTCAGGGGGATTTAATAATTTTTGACATCTCAGTCGGAGTTAAACCTCTTTTTTGACTCATTTTATCTGTAAAAGTAAACATGCCTAATGATTCTGCACACCTTAATATAAGGAGTTTTTCACTTCCTGCATTCATGGACAATTATATATCATTTATAAATGATTAAATACAAAATTAATAGTAGTTATTAACCCCTTAACTGTCACCCCCCATTTTCTAAAATAGGCATGAAAGTGCACTATCCAAACTTAAATTGCTGTGATTTATGAACACTTTGGAATACAGAACTAAGGTTGGTCTCTTTTTAAAGAAGACAATCAGCAGAATTATGAATTATTGAATTGTCAAAAGTGGAATTTTTTCCAAAAATTAAAGTATCAAAAAGTTATAGAAGTTTAAATTTATTGTAAAGAAAATACACTGTACTAATTTAATTTTATATATAATAAATATTTTACTCAACAGGTTTTACTCTAAAATTGCTATAAAATTTAAGCCTTCTGTCTAAATAAGTTATGTTCCAAATTTGAAGTTGATCTGAACAAAATTGAGGTTTCTGTGAGATTTTATTTGGGGCATCATACCACAAACAGCCACTGGGTGCCATCCAAACTCCACTGAATTTTTTAATGCATTTTTCTGCAACATATGTTGACATTTCTCTGCCAATTTTGCTTGAGGGTCATTTTATAGGATTTTTTTACCCAAGCATAGTCTCTGAGAACCTGACACCTTGTAATTCTGGAGACTTCAGGAAGGTTGCAGTTCTGGAAAATGGTGGTGCTGGAGACTAAATGTTTCCTGATGGTTTTACACCTAATTCTTCACATTAATTCTTAAATCTTTTGCAGTTAACGTGTGTCTTTTCTTCTCCACCTGTTTTTTCTGACCTCGCTGACCCAGTGAGCATTTTGCTGTCCAGTGGTCATGTCTTAACTTTGCAATTTCTGTATTGCATTAGTTTTGAATATTTCTCAGGGGGATTTAATAATTTTTGACATCTCAGTCGGAGTTAAACCTCTTTTTTGACTCATTTCATGCCTAATGATTCTGCACACCTTAATATAAGGAGTTTTTCACTTCCTGCATTCATGGACAATTATATATCATTTATAAATGATTAAATACAAAATTAATAGTAGTTATTAAGATGGATGTGGTTTGGAATTGGTAAAATGTGCTTGGAAAAAAATATCATCAGAATATCAACATGCCTAATAATTATGCCCGCGGTGTATATAATGTAATGACAATTTTTTGCTGTCACTTTTAGTCAGCAAGAATGTATAACATTCCTTTAAAAAAAAAATCTTACTGGCACCAAACTTTGCAAACGGTAGTGTGAAAACCATTTCAAGTGAAAAAAATTTATTATAAATGCTTGGTAAAAAGTTTCCAAGACATTTTAATATGATATCTTCAAAATAAAATGGTAAAATCTGAGTTTTTTCAATTAAAAGTAATCTCCAAAGTGCATGTATTTGACCCCAAAACGGTCAAAACCTCCTACTGAAGTTGCATTCATTAGCAGATATGAAATGAGTGGAGCTCCTGAGTAGCAGAAGTACTGAAACTAGGTCATTTCATGAAATGGAGAGATTTAGTTTTCGTCTAGAGCTGCCAGAAATTAAACCAAAAACAGCAGCCTCCACCACATAATGGAAGACGTTACAGGAGATGGGTGATGGTTTTATTAGTGTGTGTATGTGTAAGCTCACATGCTGGCATCCCTGTATGTGTGTTTGTGCAACTGCAGATCTATATCAAGTGTGTGCTAACTTATTTGTGTGTGTTTCAGCGCGGTACGGCTTTGTTATTGGAGCACCTCGCTGGGTCTTTGGCCAGCTCAGTGCTGGTCAGCACACAACTGGACATCGCACCCCAGCACCACAATTTCCTTCTGGGCCGCAATGGAGCCAACGTCAAGAACATCTCCCAGCGCACTGGGGCCCACATACACTTCCCCGAGCACAACACACACACTAGCCGCTCAGCCATCTACATACAGGGCAGCATTGATGCTGTATGTGCGGCTAGACAGCAGCTAATGGTATGGCAACAGTTTGTCTGTATTTTTTCTATTCAGGCTTATGCTCTTTAATTTACTATCTCTCTCCATGTTTGTGGCCAATCTGTGAAACAGAACACGTTATGTTGAAAGAGATGAAATTGAGAGCGATGTTTGGATGAGAGTCTCTGTAAGTACTGTAAGATGATGAGACTCATGCTGGGCTGGCTGAAGACCTTGAGGCTTTAGCAACGTGCCCGACCAGAGGGATTTCAAGACGCATGCCAAACTTATTCTACTCCTCTGCTCTTGTTTTTTCAAAACAGGAAATGTAGATTTAGCCACGCTGCCACTGCAGACTATAATCTAACCTTAGAGGTCTCATAATAGACATGTGCAAAATTACATGTTTTCAAAATCAATTATTTGGCGAATTGCTTCTAGGACTAGCAGACTAATCAGCATTTTATTTTAGTATTATTTATATACTATTGTGTAATATTATATTCAGTTTTTTATTTAAACTGAATATCAGTTAAATATTTTTAAGTTTTAACTCTATTGTTTTTAAAGATTTTTATGTTTTTTTATGTTCTTTTTCTGTTTGAGTAATTTTAGTATTTGAGCTTAATGTTATTTCATTTAGTTGCCAGGTCAAATTTCTAATTACCATTTAAGATTTTTTTTTTTTATCTAATATTTTTATTTTTTATTTTACTGCAGCTTTATTTAAATTCATAAAAATGATTTAAAGGAATATTCTGATTTCAAAAGTTACGCTCAGTCAATAGCAATTGAAGACAAAAAATAATTCCCTCATTCCCTTTATTGGAAAAGCAAAATAACAAAATTGAATTAATTTAATATAAAAATTATATATATATGTATATATGTGTGTGTATGTATGTATGTATGTATGTATGTATGTATCCAAGCAGATCCATAATTAGCTACAGCTGTGTGTGTGTGTGTGTGTGTGTGTGTTTGCCTGTGTTCCACATCCACTCACACACTATTAGTGTGACTTAAAACAGTCCCCTCTGTTGTTCTCAAGACACAAGCCTTGTTGCTCTCATGCACAAATTGTGCATATTTGCAGTACTGTTACATTAAGGATTCATGCCATAATAGTGATTAAAAGTTAACAATCTTGCTGGTAACAATAGCTTTGTTTCAAAACCTAGCAAGGTTTTTTACCTAGGTAAATTTTAGGTATTGAAGGTTAAATTATGTTTCCTTGTAATAAATCTATTTTAGTCTAATCAAGCCTGCATCACGGCCTTTATGGATAAGATAAAAATAAGTAAATATTAAAAATAAATTGCATAATTGTTATTATTTTAAATCAACCTGTGTGTGTGTATATGTATATATATAATATATATATAATTTGTTTCATCCAACATTTGTGTAATATACAATTAAGAGTATCAAATTATTAGCTTAGCAGCATGTAACATATCAAAGCAATAATAAAGTCAGATAACAATGGTATTTAGTTAAATCATGTTACAAAAAATGTTTCAATCAGGTCCAATGAGGCTTATTATCATTAAATAAAACCTAAAGAGCATTTTTTGTTACTGGAAATAAACATGAAATGAAATGAAATAAAATGATAAAATAAAAATAAAATAAAACCTTTTTGAAAATGTAACATTTATCATTTTTGTTTAGTTTAGGTTTAAAATTAAATTAAATAAGCTAAAACGCATAAATAAAAATTAATATAGGCATATAAAAATGACAAAAACACAACAAAATTACTTAACCATTAATTACAAAAAAAAATCTAAATATTAACAAAAAGAAAAAGTCAATGATACTAAAATAACACTGGGTCTAACTGGTATGCTAATTGTTGGCTCTCGACATATCTTGTGCTGTCTCTGATTTGAAAGTTACATCGGAGCAAAATAAATTAATAATAACTGAACTGTAAACACATTATGGACAAAAATGTTTTTGGTATTTACGTTGCACTCTTTATTTTTTCTCTTTTTTATCAGCTGGTCTTCTAAGGTCGTCTGTCAGCCCCATTCCTAATGGTTCCCCGAACCCAAAGTGTGTTCTTAATGGGCACGGCTCTGTGTTAAACATTCAGAATGGAGCAGTGAACAACTCACAGCACATTTATACACACTCACATACACCTGCTCACACACATTCACATGTTACTGGTCACACAGCTTCACTTTGGGCCAGTGCACTCAGTTCAACAGCTAACACAGCAGGTGAGTGTGTGCTCTTTTCAGCCACATATTTTATATGTGTGTGTTACATAACCCTCTCACTCTGTCCCTGGCTCAGGGTTCTCCACAGACTTGATGCTGCAGTCAGTGTCTCAGTCGACTCTCGGTGGTCTTCTGCTCTCTGGGGTCCAGAGTCAAGCACACACTCACACACCGCCCCCTCCACCTGGACTCGCACCAATACACAAACCAGCCAGTGCAGAACATCTCAATGGACATGTGAGAAACTTCATCAAAGTTACTAAACTGCATACGTAGGCAACATTTTTAGGCATTATAGATTAAAATATGCTGCTTTTTAAGATAAGTATTTTTTGTCCAAAATCAAGGCAGCATCATATGTGTCCTTTATGTATAAGATGATGCCATAATGAGTGCATCTGTTTAAATTGTTTTAAACTCATTATGTTTCTTGTTTGTGTTTCTGCTGGACGTTGCATGTATGTTGCAGCTCGCCAGTTCTGTGTACAGTCGAATCTCCTCTGTATCACTGAACTCTGCCCACTGTGACACAACCCAGGAAGTCATTGGACACACCCAATTAGAATCAATTTCCAATAAATCTACAGATGAAGGTGTAAAACACAAACTTTTTATACACTAAATAGACAAAAGTATTGGGAAACCTGACCATTACACCAACAGGGACTTTGATGACATCACATTCTAAATACATAAATATTAATAATGGAGTAGGTCTCCCCTTTGCAGCTATAACTCCACAGAACACGTTTCCTCTGCTCCAGAGTTCAGAGGCGACGTGCTTTTATGACTTTACACTGCGTATTTGTAAATGCAGAAGATCTATCTATCTCACATTTTTTGCAACCCTAATTCACTGCACAGTATTGATGCATTGTTATTCCACTCTGTGTATCAGGCTCAGATACGTTTGTTGAAGTGGGCATGCCCAGAAGCCCATCTCACTCAGCTAATGGGATTGAGCTGAAGCAGATGCTGGCCTCGTCAGGGAAACGACAAACAGTGGAACTTCTGCAGAGAACCAAGAACTCACTTCTTCAGTATGTTTAATCATAAAATGACCTTACATCATCATAATAATACAGTTATGTTTATTTATTTAAGGTTACACTGCAGCTGTGAAGTGCTCCTTAAAGTGCCCCAATTATGCAATTTTTAAGGTTCCTAATATTGGTTTGGGAGTTTCCAGCAATAGGTTTGCATTTATGCAAGGTCAAAAACTGCTTTTGTTTTCTCAAAATATGCATTTAATATCACCTCATTTTCCAACGATTCTCAAACAATTCGTTTGAAGCAGTTCTAAGATTCAATCTCTCTAAACCCCTCCTTTCCGTGAGCCTACTCTGCTCTAATTGGTCAGATGGCCCAGTCTGTTTTGATCGGTCTACAGAGTACAGCGCGTGCCTGAAACCATATGCCCATTGACATAGTTCCGTATTTTGAATGCTCAAAAATATAAATATATACCAAAAAAAAAA